ATTTGACAGGTTACCTCAGAGTGGGACTTGTAAGCCGGAACTAGTAAAGCAGCGAAAGTGCAAAATGCTCCTGTCGCCGAACTGTATCGCTGAAATGAAAGTTGGGCGTTGCCGTGACCAGTGGGCCGAGCGGCGGCCTCGTCGCGAGCGGGTTGCGCTCTTCTCACGCATTTTCGAGCTGCGAGTAGTAGATCCTTCATGCTGCTTGCGGGCAGGACTATCAGTCCGAAGAAGGGGTCCGAACATCGAATACACGCAGAGCACACCTTTAAAAGCTGAAGCGTGAACTGCCGCAAGAAAAGTCTTTACTAAAGTGGTATTCAACGTGAGAAGTCCTAAACATAACTACAGCGACTAGATCCTGCCTATCCACAAGCGAAGAAAGGTAGCCGCCTTTCCTCCGACAACGGTTTGATTATTTTATATTACTTCTCAGAAGCAAATGACGGTGTATAAGGAGAAGCAAGTGTTTCCGTTTTCATTTTCCATTGAGGACATAGTCAGGGGTAATCTGCTTTTGTTTGGGTTACTGATGAGGACCTGATACACTGATAAAAGGCTGATAAAGAACTGGATGGACTTCATAAAGGAGGCGACAATTGGCATTTTTGTTCAGGATCGACGCTACTAGACCACGGCTCTGCAATTCCGCCTTTCAACAGACAAACCATCGCAAAGATGGTGTGCGGCGCCAAGCGCCTGTGTGCATCATGTCTGGTTCCCCGTGCACGTGTTCGTTAGGAACTAGGGCCATAGAAAGGATGCATTCGATGGCATCTTTCACCTTTTCCCACTAGAACGGCTCTGAGCACCTTGTACGTCATAACCACCACACGGCTATCGTGGAATAGGCCTCAAACCTGTGACCATCTGACTAAACAGTTGTGTCCACTTACCATATGAGACCAATTACGGAGCATACAGCAACTGAGATATAATAGCCATCGATCGCCACTTCACATACATTACCACCAGCAGAACATTGATCGGCAAGAGCTTTCGTATTGCATGTATAAAGCACACTGAAAAAAGCAAGAGGAATTCATAAATGCAAAAAGTAGTGACTGTTTAATATCTCACTTTGGAAATGTATTATTTTGTTAAAACTTGATTCTTCTTCTTCAGCGTTTGTCCCGCTCGATCGCGGGGTCCGCTCTTTTGATACAACTACGCCACTTTTCCCGATTGGATGCCTGATTCGGGGTGAATGCCGGCTATTTTCAAGTCGGTATGCAACGTGTCCCCCTTTGGCCTCTTTGCTGGTACCTCGAGTTCGGAGAGCCAGTTTTACGGACGGTGTCAGTCTTCGCGCGAAGTACGTGTCCGTACCATCGGAAGCTCGTTTCATTTTCTCTGCTATGACCCCATACTTCTTGCGCACGACATCGTTACAAATGCGGTCCGATCGCGTGACGCCCGCCGTCCAGCGCAACATCTTCATCTCCATCACACCAAGGCGAGCCTCAACTTCTTTGGTCGCGGGCCAGCACTCGGCACCATATAACGCGACAGGTCGGACGACAGTACGATAGATCTTTGACTTGAAACGCTCTGGCATTTTCCATTTAGACCATGCCGCACTCACTCGTGCGCTTACTTCAGAGTGCCATCGATATTAATAGAGCCGGGCTCGTTTGTGTCGGTTGTCAGGTACTCGGTCTTGTTGACGTTCAACCTGAGTCCAAACCTCGCCAGACGCTCGGCCCAAGCTTGCACCTGCTGTTCCAGTGCGCTCTTATCTTCACAAGCAAGCATCACATCATCAGCGTAAAGCAGGGTCCAAGGCACTTCCTTCTGAAGATCTCGTGAGATGGCATCCATGACGGCAACGAAAAGAAGTGAGCGCAGAGCCTTGATGTACCCCGACGGTGATGGGGAACTCCATTGAGACACCCGCTGGTGAGCGAACTTGGCTCCCTGGGCATGAGTAAAGGATGCACACGCACCCACCCAATGAGCTCTTCGGGCTTTGTTGAAACTTGATTAATTTTTCTAATTTTGTTTTTACATTGTTTATACTAATTATCATATTTCAAATCGACATATGATAAAGTTAATAACGTGCTCATCCAGGGGTTCCGAGAATTTGTTATGCCAGCATTATAGGTGAAAAGTTGAAAAGCGCACGAGCTCAGTGGTCGTGAGTGGTCAGAAGACCCCCTGCGGGAATGAAACTTGAAATTTGCTGATTAAAGTTCAACAGCTGATTTCAAGCAACTAGCAGACCCCTGTTAAGGGTAGAGCGGAAATATGTTTGTAACACTTCAAAGCGTCAGGAACGAAAAGTGTTGGGATGAAAAGTAGAACTGCAAAGTAGAACTCACTCTTTGCTTCCTTTGACGACGCAATCCTTCCACGTAAACCAATCTGTGACAGATAAAACCAAAGTGACAGGCCAGTTACCGCCAAGATTGTTCAGCGTATTCAGCAACGTCATGTACGTGCCACCAACGCGTGGATCTGACACTTGCGCATTGAACGCCATCATCGATACAAACATGCAGTATGTTGCTATCTAAAGAAAAAAAAATGTTAGATGAAGAGTGACGACACTTGTCGAGTGAGACACTCGTCACGTTCTACTTCAGAAAGTACTTCAAAAGGTTAAAGGCAAAACCCGCGATTGCAGATAAAAAAATCATGGAGCACGCCTAGGAACCCCTTGGCTGCCTCAAGTGGCAAACAGTAACGAACCTATAGTCGCTAAAAGACCACCCAAGGGAAATCGCAAAAAAAGAATCGCGGAGCACTCTCAGAACCCCTTGGCTGCCTCAATGTACGAGTTGTCCGGATCTGTTAATTTTGTGCTAGCAAAGCGATATCTTGCCGCCTCTGGCTCATATCATTTCTTCGCGTCATCCCATGCCATGCATCGTAAAAAAAAACATCGAGAAGCACCGGAATCTATAATGACCGTCGAAGGTAGGACTAAAGAGGGCGTCAAACAGGCCCAGAGCTATATGAAGCAAGGAAGGACGCCGGATAAGTTGCTTGACGCCTGAAGTTGGTCTGCTAAGCACCTCTTCAGAACGTAATGCCACGTTTTTCTCGCGTAACAAATAAGCAGTTTGAACTAAACTAAAAACCACACTTCGCAACTGCGATTCCCAGGCAGTAGGGTTCATAAGCAAAAGTGTAAGTGCTAACAAACTTACGATCAGAAAAGAGGGAACCACTCAAAAACGCTTAAACTAACAAGCGAGGTCTTTCGAGCCGTGGAGACCATTTCCAATTTTTGCTGCATGGTAGAGATACATGCGGAGACCACAAAAGTATAGTACATTTTCGCTGCGTGTCTGGGAAAGTCCAGAAGGAAATTGTGAATGATAGACTAAATGGTTTAAATCGCCCTAAGTGGCTACATTTTGTTATTTCTCAATTTTATTTTTCTATACTACATATAGGTCGGAAAAGTTTTTGCTGCAAATAAAAGATGAGCAAAACACTGGAACTCTCTGATAGCGGAAAAATAAAAAACAAACAGACGGGCTTTCTATCACCGATTTTTTCGTGAGCTTGTAGAACTTTTTTCACCCCCTCTTGGCACTGCACACAAGCACGGGCTGCGTCAGCGAGAATGACTACTCATTCGAAGTCCCCTCTGACTTCTGAGGCAGAGTTCAGACTTTATGATGACGGGCGTTACACGCCACGACGCGCTACCATTGCAAATGCGCCCAATGGTATACGGGAAGGCAGTCATAGACGGGTTCCAGTCGGTGGTTTCCACTAGTGTTCTGAAAGATCATAGGAAAACTGGAAGGCACGTGGACCCAGTTACACAATCTGATAACCTACCACTCTTCTATGAAATCCTAAAACAATGGTGGCCGGCGGCGATTGATACTTGTGACTAGGCGACGCCCCGAGAAAAGGTGTGACACCTCCACCAAGCCTCTGTAGTTTCAGACAACTCGTCCAAGCCACTTATCACAGTGATTCTCATAACTGATCGACCTACACTGGCAAGACGCCTGCGTAAACGCCGAATTGAATACTGATGACTCAACTACGCATTCCTTTTGAGCTGATTTTCGACTTGTTTCACGCCGACCCTCTATGTTATTTTGTCCAGTTAAGGTGATGATTCTCGGACCAATGGCATTCCGCACTGTACAACCTATGGCGTTACCAATCGTGGTAATTTTTGTAAAATATGCTTAAAAAATGAATTTCCATGCTGTTCGCTTGCTGGAAGAGTATAGTTCCATGGCCATTTCAGGATCACGACACTTCTTCTTCTCAGTTTGCTCACAGCTTATTTTTTCCTTGTTAAGACTTACTCTTAAGATCTCCTAACATTTTTTTTACATCTCAGACATCCAGTGTAACTGTATTCATGAGCAGGAACTGACATTCTGACCGTGCTGACGAGGACATTTCTCATAATAACTGCCATAGGGGATTCAAGAAGATGTCCGGGAGATTTTGTGTCTCCTTTGGGTATCAAACGAAATCAGCAGCGTCGCACTTCCCGTCATTCCCCTATGGCAGTAATTAATGAGAAGTGTCACTCGTCAGCAAGGTCAGAATTTCGGTTTCTACTTCATAAATACAGTTGGGGGGGAGGGTTGAATACACGAAAATGGTTCACAGAGCATTGATGAGTTTTGAAGAATAATTTTCACTGAACTGTTCTAGTGACAAGGTAACATATTTTACGTATTCACTAGTGTAAAGAAGTACAAGTTTGTAAGTAATACAAAAAAATGAAAATGTGATGTTCTTATTTGTAGATGCAGAACAGTGGGTGAACACAGAGTGTTTACAAAGATGTAAAACAGTTGTCAGGAACGAGAGCGAACCCTAATAAGGAGAAATGAGCTGTTTCAGATGTTGAGCTGTTGCAGAAAAGATGTGTCATGATCCCATAATGTTCATGAAACTATGCTCTTTCAGCGAGCAACAGCATGGAAATCAAGTATTTGAGCAGTTGTACAAAACTTACCACTGAGTTGGTAACGTCATATTTTTACAGAAATGGAACGAGTAGTCGATAATCACATCGTTACCGGACAGAATAGCACCTGAGAAAGACTTGCTCATCTGATAATTAGTAGCAGATTTATAGCGGGTTCGCAGTGGATGGTTGGGGAAAGAAGTGGAAAATTAGTTTAAAAACGGGCGGAACGAATGTGTACGTAATTATGCATATAAGTTTCGCATTCAACGTCTATCGTTGGCGCCTATACAGTTACTTGTCAATCATACTTCACGAAGAGTGAAGGCGATAAAATGGCTTGGACGAGTATGTACCGAGGCCCCAAGAGCACGGCTGAAGAGCTCCGTGGAGCTGGCAAATTACGACGAACCCCAGCAACGTCCGATTTACGAGTATCGGCTGAGGGCACGCCATCGCCAACCGGATCACGCCTCCCCTTTTCTCGCTATGCTCTCCCAAACATCTAGCGTTGAGCGCCAAATCTATATCGCGTCTTGGCGCAATGCCAATGGCACGTCGTACGTCGGAGTCGGATTCTTCAGCCTGGCAAAAGCGTCATCTTGAAGTGTGGAAGCCGAGTCATGAACAAGCATGCGACGAAGTGACTACGTATTCAAAAGAGTTTTCGCTTTCAATGTTGCAACAACTTTTCCCTCTCCACTGATCCTTATCATTCCTAAGCTGCGGTACCATCGGAAATGACCGCGATTGTGAAGGTAGGCGGGACTAAACTAAATGGTCGGAGCCTAACATACATGGTACACCTCAAGCGGCTTTGCCATTCATTTTCGAGCCGCGAGGGTAGCGCATGTTGAGGCGAACCGGGCTACTTTATTCAATGAAAAAATTTCACGCATCGTACAATTGCGGGGAGTGCCTTTAACACTGATCGATTGACAAAACGATTTGCGAAAAATTTAGTAAAAATACCTGGTGAAGAATGTAACCGAATATCCAAATAACATATACGACGTTGTTGAATTTGCCAGTATCTAGTTTGAAATACGGTGTGAAATAAACCAGACCGGCGAAAAGTCCTCCAACGAACAACCTTTGAAAAGGAAACAGGTCAGAAGGAAAGCCGAACATTTTGCAAGTATTAAAAATGACTTTAGGATCTTTAGCAATAGGCTACAATTAATTACTACCTGTAGGGGTACGCAAGCAAGAAGATATTGAGTGGCCTCGGTCCAGCAGTCCATTTTCCAATCATCCAAGGAAGTAATATCTAGAAAGATTGGGAATAGTAAAATAAAAATGGTGCTGATCGGCCATTAGGGGGCATTTTGCATTTTCGAAAGCTCCTTCTGTTAACTGATTCTGAACAATGGGTCCCACTAGTGAGACCTGTAATCTTCTGTGAAAACACGTTACTTTTATGGTCACAGGAACTTACAGGTTTTCACAAGGTGGCCCGTACAACTTTAGCAGATTCGGTGGCCCCCACCAAGCCAAAGTGCTCATAAAACACACGAAACAACTCAAAAAAGCTCTAGGTAAAAAAATATCAAAATAGTAAGTACCTGTAACGGTGTTAAGAACAGTCCAAAACTGGCTAGCCTGTCTTTTGGTATGCCCATGCCAATCAATTTCAGGCCAGTAATACCATCGGTGGCGGCGAACGCGATCTCAAATTGAAAATACATGATAATGTCCATCTACCACGGCCTATAACTGATCCCTTAAGAGAGCAATACCTTTCCTGTGAGCAGGATAAACAGCATAATCATCATGGGCTTTAATTTGAGAATCTTCCACAAGACGCTATATGTTTCTACAATACCAAGCTCCAGCTCTTCTTCATCATCATTTCCATTGCCCCTGAATTTTTTTGATGAGACATATATGAGAATCTTAAAGGCGAAACAAAGAGAAGTTACGGGCCAAAGTCCTGACCTCAGGTGAGACTCGAACCCGCACTTCACGCTTTCCAAGCGGATGCGCTATCCGTTCAGCATAAACGATAGCGCACTCCACCCGGAGAGCGTTGGTGCCGGGTTTGGGCCCCGCCTGAAGTCTTGACTTGTGAATAAAAACTCACGAAGAATTCACAGAATTGTCCACTTCTTTTTTGAAAATAAGGACCAACGTCGTCGAAATGATGAACACCCAGCCCCAAAAGAAGACGAAACCTATAAACCACGTGAGCATAAATAAAAATATGCTAGAAAATAACATTATATACATGCTTCAAGGCATACTGTACGATTCCCTGACAAATGGTACGGTGACCTTGTGCAAAGTGGGCAAGTTCCAGCCAGCGCACTAGTACCGCCACTCGAGAGCACAAAGCGAGGAGGCTAAATGTTCGCGTGTTGTTCGGCTCAGGAGGACACTTTGCACTTTTGTTACATCCTCTTGCTAGTTCCTGCACGTCACACCACCTCATCTTCCACTTGGCGAGACCCGGAGACTCTTGGGGTCTAGGGACAACTCAATTCCTTCATCACAGCAACAAATCTATTTCTATGTCCTCTTTGACCTCACCAATTCCGATTTTTCACGCATGATGTGCGGCTCATCCATTCCGGAGTCTTCACCACCCTCCCTGGAAAAGCTCATCCCTGGTTCGCGATATGCTTTTGCACATTCCGATACCTTGTCAGCAGCAGTGTACTTTTTATCCGCGCTCTGGCCTTTCGCGCCAGGAGCACCATCAAGAGTTCTAGTTGTCACGCATCCAGACTCTTGTCTAACGAAGCTCCTGCTGTCCATAGTTTTGCAGGGATCCACCCTACAGGAGGCATCGGTAGTGAATAATGGGAGTCGGCAACGAGCCCACCAAGCCGAACTATGCCGAGGTTCGTTATCGGATTTCGCTGATGTATCCGCCCTCCATCGATACGCCACACAGCCATGCTATACGCAGGGCATGCCCCCTTTCACTGAGGTAGTGTTTGGCTGGTTTGATAAGTTGGTGGAAGCTATTCAGAGATGATTCAAAATACCGCTGTATTTCAGAGTGATCGCTTGGGTGGCCCAGGCAGAAGTGGTGCAGACCTGCCTACCTCCACTCATAATCCCTGTAATTGATAAAGCGTAGGAGGAGCACGGCTGCGCAGCCAGTGTAGAATTTCCCACCCATTATAAGGAGCTCGGCATCTTATTGGGATGAGAACGCCCTGGGTGCGCTCGAATACGCGCCGTGTCACACGCCTCGTCGTTTTAAGGATCATGACTGTAAAACTAGTGAGAACATCACTCCATCATTTAACCATACAGGGTATTTCGGGTTTAACCATACAAGGCATCTTTTAATCACTTTCCTGATGAAAAGCCTCATTGCATGCCAGCAGGCAGGGAACGTCGTGTGTTGAGGATCACCAACCAGGAGATAGTACTTGGCCTAGGAAATTTCCTTCCGCTTACTCAAATTTATGATGGTTGATCAAAGGTGGTGACCTATTACCTTGCCTCCCCCTCTTAAAGGCGGAATTTCGGAAAAAGTTGAAAGAGGGTATAAGTGGTCGCAGTGGAGAACATAGTTCGTAGAGGGTAAGTAGGTGTGACAAGGGAGTGCAGTGAGAACCATGTTGGGGCGCCGTGAGCGCATTATTGAATTTTCCATACCCAGGACTTGTCACTGATGCCAAGTTACTCACAAACAGTACTAACCTGCTAAGTCGATTATTCCGTATGGCTTCTGGTTATCGGCCGAGCGAATGAACGTATTAGCAAAATCAGCCGATTCCAACGACAGGAACACTACATTTCCAAGGAAATAACCAGCAGTTTGGCCGACAGCGTTGCAAGTAGAAGCATATCCCACGTTTTTTCTGAAAAGGAACTTCATAATTCAATCAGTATTCGCACCAGATGACTTGAGCGATTCACATTTAGACATGGCACGACTTAAAGACAGCGCCCGCGATCGACTTTGGCAGGTTTAAGGGGTCAGAATTTGTTAGAACAGGTGGCAAGTGAAGCATTAATCAAAAAAAGTAGGAAAAAAGGTGCAGGACCCTATTCGATTTAAGGCATCTGGACGAGTTTCGCAGATTTTGGGTGAGTTCTCCAAAACACGTCGCCGCCTCGTTGCGGCTAATTCTCATGAGGCCACTACCTAGGTTATCTCATCCAATCTACACTCTAGTTCGCTGCGGACGGTTGGGCGTGTCAGCCAGTATGAGTGTGTCACCCCGTCAAAGCCGTTCTCTGCCTTCTTGTTGAAACGCGCATGCGACAAAAAGTGGTAGAAAACGAGTAATACGAAGGATATGATACAGTATTGTCACTTGCCCGCTTCAACAACTGGTGGAGAACGAGTTTGGCACCGCGCCAAACGCAGCCGCACTGACACGCCCAACCGTCCGCAGCGAACTACACTATATTAATCCACGCTGGCATTGATAATCGATGTGTCTATGAGTTAATCTCTTACGAAACAAACGCTAGAAATTTAGCGATTATCAAAGCCAGCAAG